CTTGAGCCAATATAAAAACAATAAAGATTTGAAATTTATATCTAAACTTGTTTATACAGAAATTGAAAATAATTAGAAAACAAAAAATGAACAAAATTTAGCTTCAGCTGCTGCTATTGAATGCATGTTGGAATGTGTATATGCATGTAAGTATGTATGTATGTTATTTGCAAGGACTTTTTGCGGAATGCCTTTGCAAATATAGTGAGTTGAATAAGACTCAAAGAGCAACCTAAAATAAGAGTCCGAATGTAGCAATTTATGAGGCCGATAAGGGTCTCAAAAAGAGTCATATATGAGGCCAAAACTTGTTTTAAAAGAGTCCAAAATGAGCCGTATATGAGGCCAATAAGAGTCCAATATGACTCATATTGAGGCTCATTTGATGTATGAATTNAAAAAAAGTCCAAAATGAGCCGCATAAGATGCTAATTAGATTCCAATATGACTCATATTCAGGCTCATTTGATCTATGAATTTAAGCTCATTTAAGTCGACCTTCGGAGGAAGGAAAACATCCTCATATCGGACTCTTAAATGAGCTAATTATGAGTGTAAAGCCTCCGAAATAGGACCCCGTAAAGACTCATTTAAGACTCTAAATGACAAGTAGCAAGCATGATAAAAATATAGCAAGGTAGAACCGTTCTCTCAATTTGTCGGCCATGATTTTTTTTTTTAAGTTTGCCAACATTTTAAAATCATATAAAAGTGAAAATAACAAAAAGGAAATTGTTCGAAATTGTTGTTGCTTGAGATTGAAAATGAAAATGTGTGTGTGAGTTTGTGAGTAAATTTAAAAATTAAACTGTTTGAAAACGTCAAGAATTTTAAAAGCGACTCTCAGCGGTTCTACCTTACTATATCTTTATCATGGTAGCAAGCTTTCCATACGCATGCATTTTTTTGTAGAAGTTTTTAATTCGTTTGTAGAAGCCTTTGGAAATTCACAAAGTAGAATTTTGGAAATTTAAAAATTTATACAAACAATTTTCTGCTTAGGAATAAAAAACTTGTTACTTCACATGTATGAGCGCCTGGTATCGGGAAATGAAAATATCAATTTGACAATAAAAACTGGTCATAGGGTGGTCGTGGGAAAATGCACACATTTTTGGTTATTTAAAAAATTTACATAATATGTATGTACATAAATCATATATATGTATGAAAGATTCGAACTTTTTTGCAAACATTGCAAACATAAACCAATATTTTAAGTTTTTATTGGAATAAAAAGAAAATGTATGTCTTTTCGTAACATTATGTTAAATGCTAATATTTTAAACGAAAAAACTTCATACGTATTCCTATACTTCCTATGAAGTTTTCAAATACTACTGAATGCGATCAACATACTCAAGTACTCTGGAAAAGCGGAACAGTGTTTTATGTTGCAGAGCGCTGTTGAGTAACATTGCTCAGTTCCTCAAATGTATGATGTTCTTTTTTTGTTCCTATCTTTTTAAGTACTCTAAAATATATGTTCCATTTACTCATATACACATGTAAAGAGTATTTCTGCTGGTACATTTGCAGTGCTTTATTAACTATTGATTTATAAATTTACTTACTTTAAATAATAAATCTGACCATCATTAGTTTTTGCTTGCTCCCATCCCGGAGGCAATGGTCCTAGTTCATTTTGTAACTGTATAGTACTGACAACATCATATGAACGTTGTTTCATATGAAATGTCTGAATTGCATTCGATCCATCTTTAGTCACTGACTGGTCGACTTGATCCATTCGGACTCCCGACCCAGCATTAACGCCTGGAGGAAATTGTACGGCGTTTGATGTATAGACAGGTCCAATGCCATCCTGCAAGCATGCACCTGCTTCCATTACGTTACCTATATGTACATTATATGTTTGTTGAAGTGAAGCTGGGCTACTATGCGCACGCGAATGAGAAATAGCCAGTCTATTTGCTGCTACTTGTGGCTGTGTTATTGTAGCCGGAACTGCGGCTATAGAGCTCGTGGAAATATTTCCTTGGCTAACATTGGGCTGCGAGCCAGTGTCATAAGCAGAATCAGCGCTATTAGCGCGTGAATGTGCTACAGATGGTGACCTCGACGTCGTTGCAGGTGGCTTGAAAAACGATTCTGGTAGTTGACGCATACGAAAAGGCACTTGTAGTGGACGTTTTGATTCTCCTGGATTTAAAACGCTATCAAATAGGGCTTGCAGATTATTATCTGAATCTTGATCTATGCGAACAACCAAGTTGTTCGACTCTTTTCCTGTAGATCGTTCTTTTTCTTTAGCATTGCCTTTATTAAGGCCACCCACTGTTTTACTTAAAGACATGTTACCAAAATATCCACTGGTAATTATTCGTTCTGTGTTGTGCATATACCAATAGAGAATCTTAAAATGGCGGTTGTATGGCTTATTCCAACCTTAGGCTGCCATCGTAAAAGAGCAAGAAGTAATTATCTACCAAACTGAAGAATTTGAGTTTCTTAAGGCTTTTTTGCAGTACTTGACAGATAAATAATACGCTTTTTCCCAATTTTCTTCATAAATTCGATTAATTTCGTGTAACTTTCAACAAAAAAATTAAGACACAACTTTTATGAGAATACAGGGTTACCATCACTAATATAAAAGCAAACTACGTACGATCTTGACTTCCTGTTGCAGAAGTCTAAACCTATGTTCACAATATAACTTGATTTTTACTCGTTTAAGCGTAGGCAATTTCATAAAATCATTTCACGAATATGGGTTATGATTGTCTGCATTAACACAATTTCATGAATTCAACTATACACCCATGAATTTCCATATGATTTCATGAAATCGTGGGGTGCAAGTCCGGTAACGCTACGTTTCACAAACAGTTGTTTACTAGGGTTATGATTTTTTTTAGATAAAGATTAAAACATTGGAAAAGTTACGTGGATTTGTTGAAATATAAAGTAAATTCAAAGAGAAGAAATTCAAATACATTAAAGCCAATTTAAATATAACATGGACCATTTCCTGGTACCAACGGCTTTTGCAAATTTAAAACAGAAAAAAATACAACCCTACCTGTTGGTTTCTCGCTGGTGCGCTGCCACATTTTCAAAAGACTTAATTTCATAAATTCGCGAATTATGCATAAACGGGACCATTTTTGAATTCATGCCGATTTGTGACGTGCGCTTTGATGTTGTCACACAAAGGGAGAGACTTACAGTTTAACGCCGACTCCGAACGGCGATTGTATTTTTATACGAAGCTGTTTTTTAAGGCAGAAATACAATCGGTGGTTTGCCATTGCCTGCAGAGGGGCGATAGCTGTTAAGAAAAAACCTTTTTGCTATATTTTTTGCGATGTTGCTTTGACCAGGGCTTGAACCCAGGCCCTGCGGAGTGGAAGCGCGAACTGCAAACACACTTTTGGTCATAGGTAGTAAATTGTAGCAGTAGTACAAAAGCAGAAGCAAAAGGACTATTTTCCATGATGCAGTAATACCAAAGAACTTAGGTCGGTGTTATGCAGAAATTTTGTTTGGCAAACTGCGTGCAATTGTTGTTGCAGCAAACTCGGAGAGAGCGAGTTTGGCGACTCTCACAGCAAACTAATTTTGTTTGGTCAAACTGCAGCAAATTCGGTGTTGTCATATACAAAAATTTTAAATTTTGCGCGTTATGTACATCTGAAATTCTCATTTCGTGTTGGCAATAGCCATGAAAACCATAATGAACGTGCAACCCTATGCCAAACTCGACATAACCACCTCCGAGCAAGCTAAGCAGCCGCCATTTAATTTGGCAAACAAAAGTTTGTCTGCATAACACCGACCGTAGATAATAAGAATGGATAACTCGTTATAGTTGTAGCGAAAGTGAGTAACAGGGGCTTGCCTTCTCTTTTGCCTTAGTACGTTTTTTGATTGGATGAAAAGAGAAGGCGCGCCCCTGTTACTAACATGCGCTACAATTTTCTGACTATTTCTGGGAGATAAGGAACGCAACTATTGCATCATGACTATTTTGTTTTAGTGTCAAGTTATATGTTTTTTGTTCGGTGTAGTACTGAATGATAATAAGCGTTTTCATTCAACCAACATTTATAATCACGATGATTGCGAATGCTTCTGTTACATTCACTTTCTTTACAGAATGGAACTCTACTATTCAATAACACATTACAGTTTGGTTGTTTTAAATTAATTTAAGCCACTCAGGAATGAGTTTTTTTTTTATACAAACAAATAATCCAAACTTTGAAAAGAATGTCGAGAGAATGCAGATCCTACTGATTCAATCATTTTACAGCCCTGGGGGGCAATTTATGTTCTGTGAAAACATGAAGCGAAACAATTTTTCATTACTTCACATAAAATTAAGATTCTGTTTTTAAATGTATATTAAATAATTTATCAAAAATTTTTGACTGTGTAAACTTTTTTTCATAAATAGTGCGTTCCAGAACGTCTACGATTTGCATGTTTTGCAGGATTTAGTTCAAAGTCGTTCCCGCACGCCACGTTCACATAATGTTTATTAAAGGTGAAAACAGCTGTTACTGGAACAGGCTAAAAGGTTTGTGGCAGTGAAAACGAGAAGTTGGGCGTGTTTCTCAAAACCATCATCTTGTGTAAAGGAATATCATTGTCTTAGACTCACAATAATTTATTAAATAAATATTTGATAGATGTTGATGGAATCGCCTTTAATTATCGAGAATCACTTAAAATGATAGACCGAAACGATAAAGTAAAAAAATAAAATTTTCACTGACATTGAATTTTTCATTTTCACTTTACTGTTTCATATAGGCTGCGTTTCTTTATACATTGCGGATAATCCCATTTCACAGCCGGAATAAACAGAATGCGTTTGAAATAAACGTGAACACATCATCAGGAACGTTCTAAAGAATAAATAAACATAAAAGTTTATTCCAAACGTTCAGAATGAATAAAGAAATGCAGCCATAATCAGATTTGGCCCCTTGTTTGGGGACACACTTGTACCATATGTTATCGACTAAGGGACGAATTGATGCATGCTGCTCATACCTATTTTAATTTTTTTATTTTTTGGAAAATGGGATATTTCGTCAAACATGCCAGGAGTTTTGCAGTTATTGGAATAACTCTGTACTTATTGGATTATGTTGGGGTATTGAAGCATTGTAATGAGTTGGCTTATGGAAGCAACTTTAACTATCCGGCTGGTTCCCCCAATGACTATAATTATATGTTTCTCAACAACGCTTCAGGGAAATGCCCATCGTCACCTAGATTAATACTAATAGTAAAATCTGCTGTCGGAAACGTTGATCGTCGCAACAGTATTCGCCGTACTTGGGGTTTAGAACATCGTTTCTCTGATGTAGAAATAAGACGTGTATTTCTGCTTGGCGTTAGTCGAGATTTGAATATGAATCGTATGGTGGAAAGTGAGTCAACAAAACAAAAAGACATTGTGCAGATAGATTTTTTAGATTCTTATTTTAACAATACTATCAAAACAATGATGGGGATGCGATGGGCCCTTACCTATTGTGGTAAAAGTGACTACTTCTTTTTTGTGGACGACGATTATTATGTATCGGCAAAAAATTTGTTGAAATTTGTTGCCGATCCCGACTCGTATCCAAAACCTACTCGAAATTTTATTGCTAGCAGTTTTATATTTGCTGGCTTTGTAATGCAAACACCACCTCACAGACATAAATTCAGCAAGTGGTATGTACCTCTCAGTGAATATCCTTTTGATTTATGGCCACCGTATATTACGGCAGGAGCGTTCGTTCTTAATCGAAATGCGTTGTCTAAGCTATTTAACACAGCAATATATTTGAAAGGATTTAGGTTTGATGACATTTTCCTAGGAATAGCAGCGCTGAAAGCTAATCTGACTCTTACGCATTGCGATTTTTTTCACTTCAATAAACCGAAATATAAAAGTCTTTCAAATTTCCAATATACCATCGCATCACATGGTTTTGATAATAATATAGAATTGGAAACGATTTGGAATGAATGCCGTTCTTCCGGTTTTGCATAAGTGAATAAAAACATTGCGTTTATTTCTATAATTGCTTAAATTGGTCAGTTTAATAATTTATATTGGAATTCGTTGAAAATTTTTCTATATACATATGTATGCATGTGTGCATATATGGACTAGCTTAGTATTAAGTTGAAAATCATTATTGATATGAATAAACAATTTGTATTGAAAAATAGCCTTTCAAATTTCAAGCATACCCTTTTCTTTTCTGTATAATACCTTTTAAGTAGATAAGTATGTAAAGTTGGTTACCGTTTTTTCTTTTTAATACGTACATATGTATCTTTTTCCATCCTTTGTTGTTGTTGTTTTTGTAGCGGCTACAACAGCCCCGCCCAGATCGGTTAGTATATTAGAAGTTGTCAAGCTCGGCTAACGGGAGACCCAAAAAGCGTGCAGCCTCTATAGGGTCTGTCCATAGGGACAGAGGCGTCAGTTGCGTAATGTTTTCCGGGCATACGAAGAGATGTTTCGAGTCGTCGGGTGTCTCTCCGCATGCCGGACATTCGTTTGGCACATCGCTCGGCGAACTAACCCCGTTTAGGTCGGTGAAATATCTCCATCGCTTGTTGAGATGGTTTGGTTTAAAAAAGAAAGGAGAAAGGAATGTTGAGTGGAGGGCCTCTTTACTCTCAAGAAGTCCTTTTGAAAGGGGGTTTTAGGTCCTGAAATTATCTTCTAATTTAGGGCTTCGGAGCGGAGCGGATTAAAGGATTTTAGCTGGAGCGGAGTTGAAGCAAAGAGCCAAAAAAAAATCATTTGCTCCTTAGCTCCTTAATGAAAGATCTA